TTATTCTTTATTCATAATTTTCTTTCACATTCACAGGACTCCAGAGTATTGAATAGTCTGATCTTTTATCTGTTTATGAGCAAGGCAGCCTCTTTCCAACAGCGTTGTTCTACGCTTTCCACTGTTTTGGAAAACTTGTTGTGGAAACATCGCATGACTAACTTGTTATTTAAAGATGCAAACCTCTATTCTTTCTGAAAACATGACATCCTATGCTTCCTGCTTCCCTCCTCTGAGTCTGGAAGCTGCAGTGATTGTGACTGAAGGAAAGTGAGTAATTCTAAGTTATGGTAACCAGTACATCGAGACCATTTGAGATTTTGTCGGGTTTAGGGTTTGTTGGTACAAAACTTACCTATCTTTTTCAGCTTTAAAATCCCCTTGGGCTACTTCTTTTGTAGAAGTGAAAAATTCTAGAAAGATGTGTTCATGGGAAAGAGAATTGCTAGTCCATTTTTATAACTGTCTTACTCATCCAGGGTAATGGGACTTCCGACAAGTTCTGCTGTTGGTGCTTGTGTTATCTTGTTTGAAATAACACTTTCTCGGTTGGTTATTTTGTGATGGTAAAGATACTAAATAGAAGGAGGATGTGCTTTCAGGCAGTGGTAGGTGGCATCATTAGCCACCAATATTATATCTATCCCCTTACCTCTTACTAATGCCTTGAGGAATAAAGGAATTTCTGTTTTTGTTACACCTTTGCCAGAGAGCATAAGACTGAACAATAAGAGTTTGCAAAGCGTGTCTTCAGAGCTACAATTCCACCTTCTGGTCTGGAGCACCACAGACTGGTCACCTCACATTCCTCTCTAGAGAGTTTATGAAGGGAATGCTAGAGATTGACTGGCTGAGGAGCAGTTTTACTGAAAAGGATATAGAGGTTTTGGTAGATAGCAAGCAGAACATTCTGACAGCAAAGAAATCAAAACACTGGGCTTATAGCAGGAGCACAGCCAGGAGGTTGAGGAAAGTGCTTGTACTCATTAGATCACACCTAAAATACTGCACCCAGCTTTGGCCTCTGATGTGGGGAAGACATGGATAAACCACAATAGATTCAGCAGAGGACCACCAGGATGGTCAATGGTGTGCCTACAGGGCAGTCATCAAAAGAATGGATCTAGGCTTTCCACAGTGAAGCATGGCAAGAGGATGAGAAACGATGAGCATAAACTAAAACAAGAGTAACTGAACACAGGGAAAACCTTTTTCTCTACCAGGTCAGTCAACACTGCAATAGGTTGCTGAAAGAGGTTGTGCCATTTCTATGCTTGGAGTTTTTCAAGATCAGACTGGATAAAACTCTGAGCAACCTGATCTAACATCGTATCTGACTCTGCCTTGAGCAGGACATTAGACTAGAGACTTCCTGAGATCTCCCCAGAATTCTGGGTTATTCTGTGATTGTGCACTCCTAATATAGTATCACAAATTTGTGCTATTTTGAAGATAGGATAGCAATAGCAAAATCTTAATTGTTCTGAATATTTAAATGATTTGGCTGTGCATTACTCTTGCTTTTGGAATCCAGAAATGCCACATATGCTCTGTACAGTCTCCAAACAGCTTGTATTTGTGATTATTTGCTGGTGTGACGTGCTAACTGTGCAAAAAATATTGGACTCTTGCCTTAGAATATAGATACCTGCCAACAGAAAATGAAGGCTACATGGTGCTGCAGATGCTTTCCCTGTCTATGGAAAGTGCCTTTTATGTGCCAGAAAGAAGCATTTATACCACATGCTTTTTTTACTGCATCTCACATCTGTTAGCATTTATATGTGTCAGAAAACAATACCTGAACAGTAAAGGGAAGGGATACATGAAGTTCAAGGGCATTGCATCAAGAAAAATGACATGTTATATTGCACTGGTGCATTGGAATTAAAACAAAAATATTTCTTGGACTTGTCAAATATATCTAATATGTGGGTGTAGTTTGTGTATACTATCTATGAATAGATTCCCATACCTCAACTGGATGACCCAAATTGCCAGTAAATTGAACACATGAAAGGGTCAAGGAGTGACAATCAGGAAGTGAAAGAATGATAAATGTCTTGGTTTATAAAAAAAAAGAATAAGTTTAATAAGTTTCTATTTCATTTAAGGCAGGATTTATATCAGAATCTTCAAAGTTGGATTCCTAAATACAGAATTACCTACTTCTAAATGAAATATTTTGCATTTTTGATAATTTTCTCTTCAGCTGTCTTTTTGTTAGCACAAAAGGAGTAAATTAACTGACAAATGTTGCTGTATATCCTCAGTCCTTAGAGGCAGCTACTGTATTGGACAGTGTTTCCAAGAATATTCCTTTGAAGTCATATTGTAAAAATCCTGAGACACAGTGTAGTACAGGATTTTGTATGACGTGGCAGTTCTTACAGATGTTACCACTGGCAAGTGATTTAGAAAAACAGCAAATTGGAGCACAACTGATCTCTGATCCCCTGAACTCAGAAGGAGAAAAATCAGTATTTGATACCTTTATAAAAATTGCTGTTTGCGTTGGTTGCATTCGTACCACTAATTCTTTAGGCATCTGTTTGGATACTTGGAACTAGTGTTGTGTAGCATTCTGTTCCTTGATGCCTAACCCTTATCTTCCAAAATGCACCTGCAGCAAAGAGCATGGACCCTCCCCTACAGCTCTTGTCATTGCTTAATATTGAGCTATCCATGGAAAGTGACAGAAAAATACCTATTTTCCTAAGTCTTCTGGGCCTAGAAAGAAGTGATGGCTAAAATAAAAGGTAATTAACCTTGAATTGAGTCCTATCTAACATGTAGGCAAGGGCTGATTTTCTCTTTTTGCTGTATTCCTACTAGATAATGTATCTCCAAAATGTTATTTTTGTAATGAACTTCTGCTCTTATACATTGATAACAAGTCTTATCTGAAATTATTATGGGAGTTTGAGTTCCACACTCAGTACACTGGAAAAGCCTTGCATTAGATCTGTGAAGTGAATAATCACATAAGGCATATAGTTTCCTTGCCCCAAAATTTGAAACTTAGAGCTTTACCAAAACCACCATATGAACGGTATGTGTGTGCATATTTTTGGGTTTGGGTCAGGGATATGAAGGATTTATAACAGTTTTTTTCTGTAAGTTACACAAGAAAGTTGTGAGGCACCTAAAGAATCACTAGATAATTTAAGCTGATGAGAAATCATCTCATGGCAAAAGGCAAGGCAGAAAGATCTTCATCCAGCAATATTTCAGAATCAAAAAATAGAAGTCATTTGATAAGGCTTGCACTCTGGTCTTTGTGCTTTGTAGAGCAGTTTTATCAGTACACATAGACATGCTCCGTAATCTTAGGTCCACTTGAAGCCAGTGGTACCTTCCACTGACTTCTCTGATTGCTGATCTTGGCCCAGGTTTTGCATCCAAATAAAGCAGAGTAACATAAAACTTTCCCATATCATTTCATTTCATTTCATTATCATGTCATTTTAACTCTGGCATATCCTTTCAGGAGTGTTCATACTTTAAGAATTCTACTACCTAGCTACTTGGGCCTAGACATCTGATTACAGTAATGGAAATTATAAGAAGAATTGCTAGAAAAAAATATCATTGATGCTTAATTGACACAATACTCTTTCTGACTTAATTCAGGCCTATCACAGGCACTGTGATACAAGTTGCATGTTGGGGTCAAAGGGTGATAGGTGACTGGCAAGATGCTTGTTTTGTACAGTTGGCTAACACAACCACTTCCTCAAGTTCGAAGTGCTTTGATCTCTCTAAGCAAATGCCATATGTGTGCAGCTGTGGCCCATGCCTCACAACTGCTGGAAGGTTAGAAAAAGGTAGCATATGAATTTGATGTCTGCATTCAATTTTTGCTTTTATATTTAGCAGTTCATAATTTTGTGTAATATTTTAGCTGTATGAAAAATATGCACCAGAGTTGAGTGATAACAGATTTCTCTGTGGTTTGACTCAACATTGTTTGGGTGAATACAGATTCCTAAGTATTGCAGACTGAAAATATAGATTTTAATTAGAGCTGTCTGAGCTTCAAAATACCTGAACGCACATTAGGCCTGGCAAATTTTCAGAAATCTGGAGGTTGTGTGGAGCTGATCTGAGCTAAGCAAGAATCTTCTCTTTTCCAGCTATATTGCATTTGCAGTTGCATCACTGACTTACAACACAGTAAAATGAGATCCAAACCCATTATTAATGGTTTTCTGATATGTAAAAATGTTTTATCATCAAGGCCTGTCTTGTGTCTTACTCATGTTGAACAGTACCTTACTCCCAAGGAATTTCCACTGAAAAATTTGAATGACTTCCAGAGTAGAGGATTTACTCCACATGACTGAAAAGCTGAATCAACTCCAAAACTTTGGTGCCTTTCTTGAGCTTTTGTTTTTCACTTGCAAATGTTTAAGACTGATATGCCCAGATCTATATCCCTCAAGCAGTTTAACATGAGTGGTTTGCTGTGACAATAAAGAAACCTACTGCAGTCAATGGGACACAAGGGCCCATTCACATGGATCCAGTTCCATGATCAAGACCAGAAAAAAAAAGCAGGGCTTTGTTTATTAAAAATCTTGAGCATGTACAATTACACTGGTATACCTTGGGGTGAAAACCATGACTCAAATAAAACATGTGCAATTTCTACTTAAAATAAAAAAATCCAAGTACAACCAATAGACAGACATGGTACAATAACCAGAAAATAAGACATGAAAATGCCGATTCACAGGTACAAATACGATAAAATATAAGGCATTGCACTCTTATGTGGATGTTAATACATATATGTGTACAAAAGTATGCATGTAACACTATACATACATATATATATACATATATAATACAATGTTGTTAATATGATTGTTAGTATTTTATTTATTATGTGTGTGGGTAAATTCATGCAGTGGTTCCAGATATGATTTGAACACTATTGAAACAATAGCACACTTATTTGTTTTTCTCATGCCATTTCTCTTTTGTATTTTTGCTAGCTCCTACTGGTTATGGTAGGCTCTACAGATGACCCTTTGCAGGAGGCAGCAGCTGGTTGCATAGCAAACATACGCAGATTGGCTCTAGCAACAGAAAAAGCAAAGTATGGCTGATGCTTTAGCAGCTTTTACCAACACACTTGTTTAGCAATACAGCTACATTTAAATACATGATTATTCCTTCCAGCATCTGTATTTCATAGCAGAGCTCATTTATATGAGGATACTTTAATAAAAACAAATCTGTGGAAACTTACATTTGTTTTTACGTTATTGATTTGTCACACCTAGGTTTGATAAAACACTCAGACCTGATTTTGGGTGTCTTTTAGCATTATATCTTTTTAAAGACAGTTGAGATATGTCAAAGACACCTTCTACAATTAACATGCTTGTATTTTAATTCACTGTTGATATAAATGTTTTTGCTTGTCTGTGACGTTACAATAAATTTTCCTTCACTGTGTGTGTGGTTGTGCAGCAATTTATTAATGTCTTGAACAGTTCCCTGCATTATAAACTTGTCCAGTCATCCTCTCATGATGTTTTTGCATGTTTGATCACTTGTGAGTCACAGGAGAGCAGAAAATGCAGATACATCTATCTCACATCTGGTGTTATATGAGGACTGCAAACAGCTGTAGCAATAGACATCACTCCAGATTTCCCATTTCTACCAACATCAAACAAAATAGCACTTAATTTTCCAAGTAGCTGGTGAAATGTGTTTTAATTAACATTAACTCAGATTAAAATTTACCAGCTCTAAATGAAGATCAGGATATTATGTTTACATTTGCACATTATCTTCCTGTTTTTTCATTTTTAAAGTGAAGACAACATTGTATTGGTGTAGTTACTTTATTTTTCTGCATAAAGTTATGTTCAGAATTAGAGTTGCTTTCAAAAAAGCACAGAAATTATTGATATTATAAATTACAGACCAACTGTACATACCATGCTTAACAAATAATACTAAGGCATTTCTTTGAGAGCAGTAATGTCTTAATTACAAGCAAAGACTGCTGACAAAACTGAAAAAAGCAAATGTTTAAATAACTTGCCTTTGTCAAGGACTCGCTTCTGAATGATTTCTTTTCACTTCACTTAATAATTAACAATTTTCTTGGTTGGAAGCATTTTGTAATTTCACCATATTTGTTCTAACTAGCATGACTTCTCAAGGCAACTAATTCTCCTGCTGACAGAAGCTTCTAAGGAAGACATAATGCAAATCCACCTTTTTATTTTGTTTTCTCTGAAGCAGACATAAAGGCTCATTTAAAATTTCATTTTAGAAGACTCATGGAATTCTGAAAAAGGAGAATTGCACTGGGCCCTTAGGGAAGCTGTAGAGACTATTTTAAAGGAAACCAGCTACTGACAGGTGCTAATATAATAGTGTGGAGATCAAAATGTTAATCCAAGTAGTATTTTTTGATCAGTGCAAACACCAACATAATCATGGGGTTGTCACAAGTTCAATCAGCAACCAGTGACCAAGCAAATGTTATTTTAGGTATTTTCCAACCCTATTCCACAGGCCTGGTATGTTATTTTGAATAAACATGTCTATATTATTACACTGATGTCACAGCTATAGTAGTATCATATGCTTCAGCACTATACCCAAAAATACTTCTAAAATAAATGCTGATTGCAAAATTCATTTGGAAGAGGAGAGGCTTGATTTTATTTTTGTCTTTTCTGTGAGAAAAGATGTAGATACAAATAGTTTATCACAGTCTCACTTATGAATAACACGTAAAATGGTGGTTTATTTTTCTAACTGTTAAGGGGAAAAAAAACCTCCCTGAAAATAACTGCTGTCCTTAACATGACCTCTCAAGGCACACTTAACTGTTTAGCATGGATTTCAAATGGAATAAGTTCTGAAGTAAGCTTAATTTTATGATACAGGTGTCAGGGCAATAAATGTCATGTTCCTGACAATGAAATGGCCTCAGCTTGCCACTCTCACTCCCACTGGTAGCCCTTATGCCTCCGAGTAGTTCTGAAACCTTTGTTTTAAGACCTCAGACAGTTAATCCCAGACTTAAGCTGACTTACTTGTGCTGTTTTCTTTTCCTTTACCATGCCTGCAGTTTTTAAGTTCAGGGAGAAGAATTCTTGAAATCGATACAGATCGCCACACAGACAAAGGACCAGTATTAAAAAAATACATCTTTTTTTGGCCAAAACTGGTGGGTTCCATGTAATTAATATAAAGAGATTTAGTTGTTGGAAAATGAATAAATGAGTGTGATCCATGGCCCCTCTGAGCGGTGCAGTACAACGTGTACATTTGAAAAGCTTCCACTTTGTCCACAGAACTGCGCTGAGTTTCCCAGCACTGCAGCTCTCTGAAAAGGGATCCTCACAAAGCTGGGTCCCACTTGCTGCTCACACAGCCCTCCTGGCAGTGCCCACCATCCTATTCAAGCCCTGGCACCAACCCGAGCAGCAAACGCCACCCAGGCCCAGCATTCCCACCGCGTTTACCTGGGCACCAGCCAGCTCCTACTTCCCAGCTCCCATGCCTGGAAGGGAAATGCCTTCACTCCTTGCCCTTCCTTCCAGCTGCTACTTGTCCATGTAAACCTGTAGCCTCTTAGGAAATATGGTTATGCCAAGTATGGGACCTTGATATGATCTTCAGCGCAGAGCAATTTGATGTACAAATCATTTTAGTTGCAAAAATGTAGTGATTTAGAAGGGGGAGTCAGCCTCTGTTCTGTTCACGTGCCGTCGTCTGTTCCCTCTATGCGATTCCTCTGTTTTCACAGTCTTGTAATATGGGAGGTTTTCCAGTTTATTTACATGGATGTTACTGTCATCACTTTTCACAATTTTGGGAGCCAGCTCCCAGGTCTGCACAGAGCACCGTGCTCCAACTGGCAGCCATAAAGCCAGGCCTGCTCTTCACCGGCTGCTCATTGTCAGCTTTGTTCATCAATTACATTAAAATGTCAGAAAACATAGAGTCCAAGTAAGAAAAGTTGTCACGAGAAAGTGTTGTTCTGAGTATGGAAATGCTAGAGTTGATGAGAAAAAGAGCAAAACAAGAAATCTTTCACCTTTATGCAATTATTTCTGAAACCTTAAAGGCCCACCACATCTTTCAGTCTACACATCTGTCAGCACCAAGATAGCTTTTCTTCTACCACTCCAAGACTTTATGATTTATTGCTTGGTGACAGATAACCATTATCAATAATTTAATTGTCCCAGGATGTTCAAACTACACATTTGAATCTGGGATTTATGTTCATTTCCTCTTATGCATGCTAATGACAAGTGCATATGCTCTGACACATGATATTGTCTCCAAGTTGTTAGAGAAATACAAACTTCACGGCCTGGGTGCAATGAATCTGAGATGTATTAGGGGTTTTGTTTTTCTGCTCCATCATCAGATCTTTCCTTTGGCAAATAAATGAGCTTGAAACTCATAGGGCTGTCTTGAGATTTGATTCACTAATTTGCTTTAGGCTAACTGATCACTTTTTGTGAAAGCGTGGTACCTCTTTCATTCCACATATCCTAAAGTGAGTTGAATGAGCTGCTGACCCTGGCGGTCAGATGTGAATCATCCCAGGAGGCTGAAACAGATAATATATTAGTTTAAGACTTTCATCTCATAATAAATTAAATGGTTGTTCCTTGCACATTTCCACCAACATAATCATCGTTTTACACATGACAGCAGGATGACTACGATGGAAATATGTAATGTGTTTCTTCAGCAGTGGAATTCAAGTTTCCATGCAGGCTGTTTGCAGAGCTTATTTCAGAGTCAGAAGCTGACTGTTCACCAACTGCAAATTGTAGTAGGCTTTGCCACACACTGCTCAGGATCCAGAACAACAGAAAGAAGCAGTGCTGCACCTTGGCCGCTCCTCAACTCAGACAGCCTAATCACAGGCTGTTCAGTGACCTGACACAGGCCAGGAAAAGTGTATTTGCAGTCACAGCCATTGCAGCAGCAAGTTACATTACACCACTTCTGAAGGAATTAATTTTACCAATTGCTGCTCCCTCTCCTGCTTAAACAGCGTTGTTCCTCAGTGTTTAATATCTTGCTGCTTTGGCTATTGAAGCCAGCCATTTTCATGAACCTTTTCCTTGGATGCAATTTTCATTGTAACATGTGCTTTGCCTAGTTATCAGTTCAGTAGTACAACTTGCTGGGAAGTATTTCCATGGACAATATCACCATGGCTTGTGTTTATCCTCTCAACTTGTTTCTATGTTATCTGCCAGACACCTTTCAGTTGGCAAGTTCCTTTTTCTTTTCCATTTGTTGTCATTGGCAAGTTGTGTGTTTTTATCCTGGTCTGCATGGAGCACAGTACCCTTCAGTTGCTTGATCTTTTACAACTGCAATCAATTCTACTTTGAACACAAATGTTTTCTTTCTGAAAGGCTCGTGAACTCATGCAAGGAAGCATTGATTTTGGCTACCATATAATGCGATGTGGCCTAATCCTGCTACTTCTGTAGTTCTGGAGTGACACAAAGCCATCTTAACTAATTTTACATGTTTTCTTCCATCATTTGGGATACATCATTTGGTGACAAGATAGCAGTTGGCCAGTCAAAACCTTTGCTTTTTGTTGCTTTTGAGTGTGTGTTGGAGAAGGACCAGAGGAATGGCATTACACTAATGGTGAACCAGGAAACAAGGTCCTAACCAGCAGTTTTCAGTCAACTCCCCTTTGCATTAGGATCCTGGATGCTTTTAACGCTGTTTGTTCTTTGAAATTGTTAATGGTGGTAAGTTTTTGTCCAGCCATGCTGTGTCATACCCCAATTCTACAAGGGGCTTGGTGAATGAAGGAAAGCAGTACCGAGCACCTGTGGTCCAGTGGGTGCATCTGGCAGCAGAATTATACTTTCAATGGCTGTGCTTTGAACTGCACCTTCTAATACCCAGATTAAATAGCTAGGGATTTGTGTCCTGCTTCTGATAAAAAAAAATAAAAAAAAGCTTTAATAAAAATGGTAATTAAAAAAATACAGATGCTGATAAAATTAAAAACATATGATATGAAGTCAAAATGATTTAGTGTTGAAAAACGTTGCTTGATTCAGTAGTAGTTAAACTTCCAAATAACTTGTCTTGAACAAGCAAATGGTTATAAGTATTTGGCTACGTGTCTTTTTTTATAAAAAAAGCGAACACAGATCATGTTGCTGGTTCCCTCTACCACTAACTGGTAAAGGCTGTGCTATAAAATTAGTGCAATAAACCAC